TCATGCATATGCACAAATGTGCACGTAGGCTTATGCATGCTTAATGTCACTCATGCTATAACTTGTAAATCTTATTTTTAACAGACCAATAAAGCTGAATCTGTAAATCAGTAAGTTTAAATAGTCTTTACTTTTACTTTTTACTTTACTTTTTTTTTTAAGTGCATATGATGCTTTGGCAATTTTTAAATAAACAAAATAAAAATTATTAAATGCCAAAAGGTCGTTTTGGAGGGAAATATAACAAATCAGTTCAAAAGTATTCATGCAATTGTATGCTTATTTGAGGTTTCATGATGAAACAAAATCGCACTGTCTGTGATTCAATAATATTGGTGATAAATCAGAAATGATGGCATGGCACAGAGGTCTGCAGTTAATCAGGGATTTGGTGTTATCAGACTGTATTTGAATGTCTGTGGATGAGAGACAGAGCCTTTGAAAGGATCGTTTAGCTGGACAATGATGATAACGGCATGTTGACTGTTTCCTTTATCAGTGATCTATATAGTGCAGGAGCTCGAGCTCTTTGAGTCGCAATTAAAGCCTTTATCCGAAGCGCTTTGATCCGCCGCGGAACAATGAGAAGGATCCGCTGCGCTTCCTCTCCTCCGCGTGAGACTCCGAAACAACGCGGAGCTCAAACGCGCATTATTTCATTTGCATATATGATATGATATATGATGACATCCAAGAACAGCGAGCAGTTCTGTGTGGATCTTAAAGAAAACTTTTTCTGCAAAGATCACCTGAAAAAGCGTGCTGCGGTTACAGAATAAAATATGAACGATGAGTGCGATACTGCTTTTTGTTGTATAAAAATTTTCATATCCAGCTACTGACATGTTAGAAACACAGATATTTTGTTTACTGTTTAATGATGCATGCATTTTTTTTTCATAATTCCGTGAACGTCCAGTACACTATACAGGACAAAAGTTTGGAATAATATATATTTGTAATGTTTTTGAAAAAGTCTCTTCTGCTCACAGATACTGTATTTATTTGATAAAAAGCACAGTAAAAATTGTGAAATATTATTCCAATGTAAAATAGCTGTTTTCTATGTGAATATATCGTAAAATATAATTTATTTCTGTGATCAAAGCTGTATTTTCAGCATCATTACTCCAGTCTTCAGTGTCACATGATCTTCAGAAATCATTCTAATATGCTGATTTGCTGCTCAACAAACATTTCTGATTATTATCAATGTTGAAAACAGTTGTGCTGCACAATATTTTTGTGGAAACCGTGATGCATTTTATTTTTCAGGATTCACAGATGAACAGAAAGTTCAAAAGAACAGCATTTATTTGAATTTTCAGCATCATTACTGCAGTCTTCAGTGTCACATGATCTTCAGAAATCATTCTAATATGCTGATTTGCTGCTCAACAAACATTTCTGATTATTATCAATGTTGAAAACAGTTGTGCTGCACAATATTTTTGTGGAAACCGTGATGCATTTTATTTTTCAGGATTCACAGATGAATAGAAAGTTAAATAGATCAGCATTTATTTGAAATATAAATATTTTGTAACATTATAAATGTCCTTACTGTCACTTTTGATCAATTGAATGTATCTTTGCCGAATAAAAGCATAGTGTGTGACCATTTCCACAAAAACATTGGGCAGCACAAGTGTGATAATAATCAGAAATGTTTCTTGAGCAGCAAATCAGCATATTAGAATGATTTCTGAAGATCATGTGACACTGAAGACTGGAGTAATGATGCTGAAAATACAGCTGCGCATCACAGAAATAAATTACATTTTAACAGATATTCACATAGAAAACAGCTGTTTTAGATTCTAATAATATTCACAATTTTTACTGTATTTTTGATCAAGTAAATGCAGCCTTGGTGAGCAGAAGAGACTCCAAAACATAAAAAAAAAATCAATTATTCCAAACTTTTAACCGTGTGGAGTACCTGAACAATACCCAGATGACCTACTGCTTCCTCTGAGATGTTGACTTGTGCATCTGATGGTCACTTTATCCCATGAGCTGAGGAGCCATCAGATTCAAAGGCTGAAAAAAAAAATCTCATAAAATAAAATGATGGTTGTTAGCATGTCACACGTCAAAGGTGAAGATGGAGAATGTCTAGAACTGTATTCTGCACACACTGCATCAAAACGAGAAGCTTTCATTCAATACGATGCAATTTATTAGGTCTAAACCTGATTAATGGGCTATTCACACCTATATAATTTAGTAAGTTTGTAATCCTGCAGATGTAAAACATGCAAATTAACTGGTTTTCTTCAAATCTAAAGTATTATTTAGAAACCTGAAAAGACCAAAGAAGATATTTTGAAGAACGTTGGTAACCAAACTTTTTTTTCTCTCCCATACTATGGAAGTCAATGGGAACCAAAAACTGTTTGGTTCCCAACATTCTTCAAAATATCTTCTTTTGTGTTCAACACAAGAAAGAAACTCATACAGGTTTGGAACAACCTGTTTTTGGGTGAACTACCCCTTTAAGTTAAGAAAAAATCTTATTGATAATGCAACTGGGAACAGATTAGAAATCATTCTCACATTCTACAGTGTGTGACCAGTGAGTTTATTAAAATTTTAATGCAAAAGACGCGTTCTTGAACTTTAAAACATGCAGTGAAATAAATGTGTCCCAATGTAAAGTGCACTACAAAATGGAGAAATGCAAATGCAATGAGTTCAATTATGTTGAAATTTATGCAAAATTATGTCACAATTTCCTAAGATTTGTATAGAAATATATTGCGTTTACTCTATTTTTAAAAGCATAATATTTTTCTAGAGGAGTTTATAATGCATTATTTCAAGCTTCTCAATCACAAACGGTTGAATCTTATCTACAATGCATTAATATAATTAATCATTTCTCAATAATTCTCAATAAATCTATAAATATCCAGACTATAATATTTGTGACCCTGGAGCACAAAAGCAGTCTTAAGTCACTGGGGTATATTTGTAGCATTAGCCAAAAATACATTGTATGGGTCAAAATGATTGATTTTTCTTTTATGCCAACTGTTGGTTGATGTATAAATCTCAATTTTGGAAAATTTGACCCTTATGACTGGTTTTGTGGTCCAGGGTCACATTTGGTTGTGTAGCCGTCCAAAATCTTAAACACAAAACTAAAAGTCTTTGTTCTTTGAAGAAAACCATCCATCAAACCAAAACGGGCTAAGGCTGAAGTTAAAGATGAGAAAACACCTCCACATCCTAAAATGAGGGAATCCAGCAACTAAAACTCCCATGTCTTGTGCTTTCACAGTATTTACAGGAAAATGATCACGTTTTACTCCTAATTCCTCCTCAGCCTCCGTACAGAGAGCGACTGTGAGCATCTTCATTTCTCCTCAGCGCTCAAACGGAGAAGTCTGGAGTCTCCAGATGTGACTTCCAGCGGCGTTCCTCATCTGTGCCGGTCACTGGAAAGACGCTTTGACGCGGCGCAGTGTGTCGTGGATCCGGCGAGCGGCGGGCGTCTGGATGAAGTTGGTGTTGTTGTCGGAGGCGAGGAGTGGGATGTCACATCTGCCGAAGCGTGCGAGTCGCTCACGCAGGTACGCCTGCAGCTCAAGGTCGGGAGGGTAGGAATAGAGATGCTCCTGAAACGCGTGGATCTGACTGACCACACGCGCGATGTTCCTGAGAGGAAACAAACACACACACGAGAGACTCGACGCCTGAGTTTGACTTTAGATGCCAAAAGAGGGAAAGAACAGCATTTGTGCATTCTGCAGAAAATCTGAGTGGTGTTTGTAGGGCTGCACGATTAAAGGGGTCATATGATGCGATTTCAAGTTTTCCTTTCTCTTTGGAGTGTTACAAGCTGTTCGTGAATAG